GTAGAAGCCATTTTATGGCAGTACGGTAGAAGCCATTTTAAGGCACAGCAGGCTGTATCTTAACAGAGCACACTCACCAAGGGGTGTTAGAAGTGTCTTATCCGCACAGTATTTGTTTCCAGAAAGTAAATTAGAGACCCACAGCTCCAGATTTCTTTCTCCCCAGTCTCAGGACCCAAATATCTACTCTAAACTCACAATAGCCTTTATATTTTCAGTTTATTTGACGACAATATCCAAGGGCCATAAATACGTTTAAAAACAAACAAACAAAAAGCCCTTTTTTGGCACTAGTGCAATTTCCAGGTCTCCTGTACCCTTTGATGTAAGGCCTCCTCTCCCAAAAAAACCCTCCCCTTCAAATTTAAAACATTATGAACTTTGTTTTATTGTCTTGCTACTGATAAACTTTTGTTTTCCAAGCTCACCTGACATGATAATCAGTTGCTGGCCGGAGTTCAGACAGAGTAAAAGTTACATCCTCACCACTGTAAAGGGGGGGAGGGGAGATACCATTAGATCATAACAACAACAAAAATAATGAGCTAGAAAATCCCTCTGCCTTTTGCACAGAGGGGAAAATCCTAAAATAAAAACATGGTTACAATGACAAATCAACTGACAAATGCTAGGACTAAATCTCAGGAAGGATGGCACAGGATAAAAAGTAGGTCTGGAAAGCTAATCTTAAAATTTACTTCTAGGATTTGGCGCTCAAAGTTCAACGGTGGAAGCAAATATAAGCTCAACGTTTAAAATTATTTCCATGGAAACAAAGCTGGAAAAACAATCCTGATTGGCACTGGCCATCAGGTGGCTTGCTAAAAAAGCCATGCCATTCAATTATGAAAATGACTCACCTGTAAAGGGATTTAAATTTTCCATTTTTACCGCTATTCGAGATTGCAACTTCAAAAGTAAAAGCTTCAGGAGGGAGGCTCTGGGTTTCTTCATTCTGGGCTGCAGCTGGGGCACTCCAGGAAATAACTGCTGAACGTGCCTGTACCTCAGAGACCTTTGAAAAACCAAAGGGAAGAGGGTTACCATTCACAATACAAATACGCAACATGTGATTGCTTTGCCGCTTTCCCCAAAATGATGGCAGCTGCATTGTGCCATTACATCTGCCCCAATTGGATGGGCCTGGTGCAGCATCGGGAGCCCTGGGGGTGAAGTGCAGTATTGCAGCTAACACTGCCCACAGCCTGGAGTTCGATCCCAATGGGGTTCGAGGTTGACTCGGCCTTCCATCAAACTTTTTTTTATATATATAAAGTTTTTATTTTATTTTAAAACAAACAAAAATATACATTAAAAATATCATCAGTTACGTATCTATTTAGCATGTTGTTTGGTCACAAACATTTGTGCATCACCGCTTTCAATTACAAATAGAGCCTTCCATCCTTCTGAGGTCAGTAAAATGAGGACCCAGATTGTTGCAGGCAATATGCAAATAATGCTTCTACATTGTAAACCGCCCAGAGTGCTGTATGGCGCTATGGGGCGGCATATAAGGGGACAGGGTGGTTAGAGTCGTTAGAGTGCAGTACTGCTGGCTGTCAGGTTCCAAATAACATCCAAAATTAAATCAGAGTCCAAGGCAAAGTGTTGCTCTAAGTTCCAATTTATTAAGAGAGCCATGTTGGCACATCTGTGAAAACCCGAATCTGAAAGCTTCCTGGTTTTCCCCACCCAGTTGAAAGTTCATGATCTTTCCCCCACACCCACAAGTCTATCACATGGTCCAATCTCCCACTGTCATGCTGGCAGTTCCACCCATCCAGTTCCGGTCAGGTGCAGAGGTGCAGAGAGAAAGGATGACCTTGGCTTTCTAGAAGGAATTTTGTTTTGACAACATCACATTCTACTCCTTACTAGTCCCCCTCCCAATTCCCCTCTAATGGAACAGCATAGTAGAATAGAATATTAGTGTGGCAGGCCAAAGATCCCAAAAGGAACCAGCTGCAGGCCTGACACTGGTTACTTCTGCTGCATGCTGACTGCCTGCAATTTGGCAGATCGAATCTCATCAGGTTCAAGGTTGACTCAGCCTTCCATCCTTCTGAGGTCGGTAAAATGAGGACCCAGATTGTTGGGGAAAATATGCTGACTCTGAAAAACCACTTAGAAAGGGCTGTAAAGCACTGTGAAGTGGTATATAAGTCTAAGTGCTAAGTGGGAAG